CCACTGAACACAAAGCACATATGCCTTCCAAGCTGGCCATCACCCAGCACATACACTGAGTACGAGAGAATCCTTGCCAGGAATACAGAAGAAAGAGATGTTCATTCTCAAAGGACAGAAAACACAGTAGGTGTTTGGCTGTAACATACCCTCATCACAGATGCCCAGCCAATATTGAAAGAAGGGTGTGTGTGTGTGTGTGTGTGTGTGTGCGCGCGTGTGTGCGTCTCTGTGTGTGTGTGTGTGTGTGTGTGTGTGTGTGTGTGTGTGTGTGTGTGTGTGCGCGCTCTCTCTCTCTCTCGTGTGTTTTTTATGAGCGCACAAAAATATCAACAGCGCGCGCGCGCGCGTGTGCGTGTGTGCGCGCGCTCTCCCTTGTGTATTTTATGACAGCCCAAAAGCATCAAAACGCATAGCTTGAGGAAGCGTTTGTCCTTTCCCCATTTGTTACAGGTCCTATAATAAGCATCATATTTCCACAGTGCTTTAGAATCTAGCATTTCTACTTACCACACCAAAAATGAGCAGCTGGGGCCTATCAGTCACTGTTCCCCAAACTCGTCAAGACATGCAGTAGCAGAACACAGCCTAAATTGAATTTTTTAACACAAGACTGTAAAGATGAAAAGAACTGTGGCAGCAAGAAGGGAGGGTCTCACCACTCAGCAGAAGCCATATTCTGCTTGAGTCCAGCAGGCATATGTTTGCAAGGTTGCTCCATACTAAGAAGTGCATACTAAGTCCCACATCAGCTGCACTCTAGGCAGTGTATGTCCCACATAGTTCAAGCCATCCAATAGTTTGGATCCAAAGATATTCTCTAAAATGCTACCATGGGCTAAGCAGTTCATCCATGCCTTTAATGTTACTGCCAGCATGGGACCTGGAAGACAGCAACTGCATTGGCTACAGTGCTATAGTGGAGTCAAGGTTTGCAGATTCAAATGGCTAGGTTTTTGATTAGCAGGGACAACAGCATCTTCTGTCAGCCCAAATTGCCTGCTGATTATTCTCTGTCTGTCAGTTAATTCCAATAAATTGGGCACTAAGCTATAACATACTGCTGCCATGTTATGTATGTGTGTGTGGATATATAGATGACCAAATACATAATATACTTAGCTATGAGTTGATGCTGCATTCTGGGACTTTCTTTGGGGACATGACTTTGAGAACAGTCATGTGCTTTGCAGCCTACCATTGTCACAGTGACTGACTGAGCCTCCTCTGCTTCTAGAGTCCCTGTCAGATGAGTGAGTGAAGCCTGTGCTCCAGAATTTGGAAGAGAGCCCCTTACGGAGCATGTTGCTATAATAAATCAAGGCCAGTATCCTGTTGGAGTGCGGGTGGAACATTAAGGTTCCACCAACATTCTATTGTGCAAGCCAGAAATCACCCTATTCCAGCAAACAGGGTTTCTATTGGCACAAGGATGTCTCAAATACCTCCTCATGCAAGAGGTGAAAACGCCCAACAACTCATGGAAAAGAAAGTTGTACAAGCAATAAGACTGCATAGGTTCTTGCCCAAAATCTATAGTATATCAAAGCACAGATGGCTGTGTGTGATTGGGTTCTTGTTCAAGATTAAGCAGTTCCTCTTCCTTAATGTGATTTAGCACAGGAGATGGATTAACATTAACCAAAGGTTTAATTTCCTTCAAAGGGGAAGGGTGTACAACAACTTCAGTGGGTTCAACAGGACCAGCAACCACAGCCATTTCAGCCCACATTACTGGTAGTCCCGTCATAACCAGAGTCCATCAATGAGAGGGCATTCCAAATTTCTTGTGGTTGGTAGGTTTCCTCAGTGATTGACTCCTCACCATGCAAATAGTTCCGCAACAAGGGTGTCGAGCCCCGTCTCCCTTGGGAGGTGTCAGAGCCATGGGGATAGGATCCAGGGACTCTTTCCTCTTGGATAAACATAAATGGTCCATTTCAATGGCTCTGCTTCTCTGAATTGAATTTCAATGCCTGCGCTTCCTTGTCCTTGCAAGGTGCCTTTTCCTCTCTCTTATTGCCTCTCCCTTATATGGAAATGAGGGACCTTCCTGTTCTTTAAACAACCACTCTTCTTCTTTCCTTCCCTCTATATCTGGACTCTCTCACTCCTTTGAGCCCCAGCTCTTCTTCCCCTCCTCCTTTGTCATTAAGAAACCCTCCACTATTGGTTGTTCTTTTCCCGCCCTTTTCTTCCTGTCTCCCTCTGCTTTCTGACTGTCCCCTAGAACCAGGTTCTGAAGCATAGCAGGTAGGATGGTGTTGACTCCATCCACCCTAGATGACTGAGGGGACGGCTCCCCTAGAACCAGGTTCTGAACAATAGCAGGTAGAGAGTAGTTAGGATGGTGTTGACCCCATCCACCCTAGATGACTGAGGGGACGGCTCACTTCTAGGTTTAACTATACTGACCAGTTCCTCGTCACACTGTGGCCAGATTCTGGACAATGGTGACTCATTAGAGCCGACTTTCCTGCCTGTGACAATGACCACCCACTTCCCCCCAGCGAAAAATTAGCACACTCCTATCTGCACATCCCAGGGCAAACCTGTTTCTGTGGTCCTCTTAACATGCTGGAGGTGGAAGTGGATGCTTGCTTCTTTTCATCAGTTTCTTCTCAAGTGTTAAAGGACAAGGGACCGAGGATGCTAGGCAACAGCTTGTGTGTTACTGCACGACAACAGTTGCCTGCTATGGCTGCAGTTTGGTCATAAAGAGTATTTGACCCAAGGTTTGTCTAGACCAGTGGTTCCCAAACCTTGGGTAATCCAGGTGTTCCTGGACTGCAAATCCCAGAAACCCTTGCCAGCCCAGCTGGTGTTGAAGGCTTCTGGGAATTGCAATCTAAGAACACCTGGCTCACCCAAGGTTAGGAACCAATGGTCTAGACAGACACACTACTACAAGGTTAACTATGAGTTTTTATCCTCTAGAAAACTGTGCACCCATTCCTAAACAGCTTTAAATCTCTAGTTATGTTCTGGGTCCCAAACGTAAGAGAAGCATTTTCCATTGCTGTCTTGCAAACATAGACATAGGCTGAATGCTCAGATGTCAAGGTTTCCCATCTGTTGAGGTCTATTCCTAAGGCCTTCAGATCCCTCTTGCAGATATCCTTGTATAACAGCTGTGGTCTCCCCTCTGGGGCGCTTTCCCTGCACTAATTCTCCATACAGGAGATCTTTCGGAATCTGACCATCAGCCATTCTCACAACATGCCCGAGCCAACGTATATGTCGCTGTTTCAGTAATGTACACATGCTAAAAATCCCAGGTCATTCTAGGACTACTCTATTTGGAACTTTGTCCTGCCAGGTGATACCAAAAATGTGTAGGAGACAACGCATACGGAACGTGTTCAGCTTCCTCTCCTGCCGTGCACAAAGGATCCAGGACTCACTGCAGTACAGGAGTGTGCTCAGGACACAGACTCCGTTAGACCCGAATCTTGGTATATGTCGTCAGCTTCTTATTTAGCCATACTCTCTTTGTGAGTCTAGAGAACATGGTAGCTGCTTTTCCAGTGTGTTTATCCAGCTCGACATCTAGAGAGATTGTGTCAGAGATTGTTGAGCCAAGGTACGCGAACTCATGAACAAACTCCAATTCTTGTGTGGAGATAGTAATAGAGGGAGGTGAGTTCACGCCCTGGCCCAAAACTTGTGTTTTCTTCAGGCTGATTGTTAATCTAAAGTCTTGGCAGGCCTTATTAAAATGATTCATGAGTTGTTGGAGGTCTTCAGCAGAGTGTGCAAAAATGGCTGCATCATCTGCGAAGAGGAAGTCCCGCATGCATTTCAGGTGGACTTTGGTCTTCGCTCTCAATCTAAAGAGATTAAAGAGCTTTCCGTCTGATCTAGTCTGGAGATAAGACACCTTCTGTTGCAGTTCCAAAGGCATGCTTCAGCATGACAGCAAAAAAGATCCCAAACAGGGTCGGCACGAGGACACAGCCCTGTTTCACTCCGCTTTGGATGTCAAAGGGATCTGATGTTGAGCCGTCAAAAATTACAGTGTCCTTCATTTCCTCATGAAAGGACCTGATGATGTTAAGGAGTCAACGTGGACATCCAATCTTGGGAAATATTTTAAAAAGGCCATCCCTGCTAACCAAATCAAAGGACTTTGTAAGAACTATGAAGGCCACAAAGAGTGGCTGTCGTTGTTCCCTACATTTCTCCTGCAACTGCCTGAGGGAAAATACCATGTCAGTGGTGGATCTATTAGTTCGAAATTCACAGCAACATAACAGTGTTCTAAGTGTGGGAGATGATTTAAAGGAGCCATCCTGATACCTTTACAGATACCATGAGCTGCCACAATGACAAATAAGTGGGTTCTAGAGCAAAACAAGCTTGAATTCTGACTAGAAGCTAAAATGGCTAAACTGAAAGTTATCATACATTTTCATACGATGACAAGATTGCTGGAAAACACAGTAATACTAGATAAAACTGAAGGTAGTAGAAAAGGAAGCCCTAACATGAGATGGACTGGCTCCATAAAGAAAGCCATGGCTTTGAATTTGTAAGAGCTGAGCAAGGCTGCTTATGATAAACACTTCTGGAGGCTCTTGATTCATAGGGTCACCATAAGCTGGAAGCAACTTGATGCTGCACAATCACAACTGTGGCATAGTGGTCATTTGGTTACCCATAAGACCCAATGAACCAGAATATCATGAATGAAATGAAATGAGAATTGAACTTAACCTATCACATCACCCATCTGAGAAGAGACTCTATGCCACTCGTTAACACGAGGAGTCAAACTATTCTAGTATTAAAGCATGGTTAACTAAAAGCAAGCAAGGCAAATTAGCATACTATGGGTACTGCTGTGCCATGCTACAGGATACAACTTTTAAAATGTAACAGTGAAAATAAATGTCTCCTCCATGTGTGAAATGCTGGTTGATGTCTGATTTTTAATAACCACAGGGACCTTCATGAATGCTTTTACTATACCTTGTTGACAAAAACCAAGCACATGGATGTAATCTCTTTGCAAACAAACTTTATTGAGGTTTCTACAGAACTAGACTGGCTGATAAGATATAGAAATTTTGCCTTTAGCATTTTTTAGTAGAAAACATGAACTGTTGGGTATTTAAGGTTCGGATCCATTACTGAAATCAAAATGAGCATTATTCCCAATGAATCTATGTAGACTATATAGTTCCCCCTTAGGAAGAATTGCAAATTATTGCAAGTAGTCTCCTTTTTTTACAGCATCTCACGAGATTGGATGCTACACTTCCTGTTTCCCAAGAAAGCTCATCAACATCATTTTTATTACTATATATAGCCTGGACCCAGTAAATATTCAAGAACTTTTATCCAGAGCTGAGATGCCAATACATTCCCAGTTTTGAATGTGGGTTCTAGGCAAATCCATATTTGCTAAGTCCCTGAATTTGGAATCATAAACGTCCACCACCATCACAATGGGCTGCTAGTTTGGTTCACAGAAAGAATCTCAAGAGAAGTAAAGGCAGTAGAGGTGACCACAGCAAGGTTGTGCCATTCATGTAACCACTTTAAATCCAGGCTTCAGCTCTTCCAGGGCTTTCAGTTCATCATCCGCTTGAGAAGTCCAGAAGGTATCGTACAAACTGCAACAGAATATTCCATTCAGGTTAGCACTATTACAGACTATAGCTTTGGCATTACTGGTACTGGCCATGAGAACACCAGTAACTACAGGAAACTTCTCTGTAACGTAGGAGTCAGCAAAGAGCATCTAATGAGCTCTACATGCCCCCCCCTCACTGTCTTTTTTGAGGGCTCCAAGATCCCTCCACCCTGAAAAAACATCCACCATAACTCCCACCACCATCTCCTCCAAAACATGAAGTGGACATCTGGCTCCTCCCCACTTTGATTTTTTTCCAGTCGTTTTAAACATTTTTGGATGCAATGTGCAGCCCACGAAGCATCCTGGAAATGGAAAAATGACCTCAGAAGTTGCCAAAATCTGCTGCAGTATCAGCCAGAGTAAGGGGTACATGTTTCTAAAGATCCATATTTGGGGACAGTTTAGCTTCCAAGGATGTTGGCTGGATAGCTCAATGAGCTAAGGCACTCTGCTGGGTGTTGGGGAGTTTGATTCCTTACTGTGCTTCCTATTTATTTATTTATTTATTTTATTTATATCCCGCCTATCTGGTCAGATCAGGAGAAGAGTCAACCTTTATGGCTATGGGCAGGCTACACAGTCCCTTTTTTTCTGAAATTCTTAGAACAATGGTTGACAGGGCCAGCACAAGACATTTTGCTGCCTGAGTCGAAATATAATCTGGAAGTCTGTCCTTTGTCCATATCCTGAAGCTGATAAGATTGGCAGTTGAATTGTATTTCAGCATCTTTTATAATACCTCATTCCACATCGCTGCCATCTTAAAGCATCACTTTGTCTAATGGTAGGGGCCGGCCCTCATGTCTGATTATCCAGGAGTAAAAACTACAGACTGACTTCAAATGCAACAAAGGCATTTTCAGGTCCACTTTCAGAAGACCCCACTAGACTTTTGCATGCCATTGTAACTGGAATGTAGTTATAAGCTTTGTCATTTGTGCCACTTCTCTGAGATTGCTTCATAACCTCTCTCCTGCACTCTAGCTTCTCAAACTCCTAGCACCTCACCAAAAAGTCACTTACATCAGATACTTCAGGTGACAGTTTGGGTTTTTCACCGCTTCACAGAGCTTCAGCACACCTTCATCCCCTATGTGGCTATAGCTCACATCCAATTCTTGTAGAGATGGTTTTCCGACAATGACTTCAGCAAGCTTGTCACAGCAAGATGCTGTAAGATCTGCTTGTCCCAACCTAAGAACAGAAGAAGAGCAAAGTTCTTGAAGAAGACTCCACCCAACATGGAGTACACTAAACACACAATCAGCAATCAATTTCACATCTCTACCTCGAAGCCTTCTGCTGTTCTGCTTTTATACATGCATGTAAGGCAATTCACAAGTTTTAGAAATACAGAATAATGGCTGTAAAAACAATGTCCAGAATATTGATACGTACATAACATCTGTGTAACTCACTGTGGCTAACTGACATAGTATCAGGGTACATCTTGGTTGTACACAGTTGGGTGTGTGGCCAGACACATAGCCATGAGGTATGTAAATTAGTTGCAGTTAGCCGTAACAAGTTACACAAGGATTCTAGCATAAAATCTAGAGGTTCATATATGGAACAGCTTTCAGGAACCATATTTACATACTTGAGTAGTAACTGTTTGGATTTTAGCTTGTAGTTTTACATAGAAACATTTAGACAAGGGTTATATTTATTAGGAAACGTGTACGCTGTGTCTGTATTTGTTTAAATGACCTCACTGAAAACTGACTGCATTGAGGTGACTTTGGCCCATCCAACTGAATTCATATACAACTTCCCTCTGACTACACTTTTTCAGAGAACTGGGCCATTTGGAGTCCAATGATAAGGCTTCTATTACTATGTTCTTATTTATTTCTTCTCTACACTGCTTTGGAGGGCTCCTTTTATGAAGTAAACAGCTGCTGATATATTTAAATACAGCTCTATAAGTAATGAACCACTAATTGCAGAACTTTATTTTCACAACAGTTTTGTTGGTAAGGAGCAGACACACTTGTTTAGCTTCTGTAGAGAGAAAAAACCCAAGCAGTACACCTGCAATGGGACATTTACCCACATCCAAAATTGGAAAGCATATGCAAATACCTTCTTTGTTATAAAACAAACTAGGACCACAGATGAATAAAGAGGACAGTAAACCAAATAGCGCTTTAAGAGACTAAAAAAACACCAGAAACAGTAATGTACCTAAAATGCACTAAAAGGCTCATAAAGCAGAGTTGAATGTATTCCATGCACCTGCAAAATTCCCACACTAGCTTTTAAAAAGCCGTGACTGGCATCCTATTAATCCAACTTTAAAGAGAAAAACTTTGTAGTTCTTGATTGAGAGATCCTGCTGCAGTTTCACAGTTATTGGTGTGGGCCTAACAGAGACTACAAAAAAAAAATAGTTTGGCTTTCTCAGAGTCCTAACATTAAGCTTACACAGAACTCCTCACAGTCACAGGTATCTTTGCAATGGCAAGAGTCAGCAACATGAGGTACATGCTCGTGGAAGAGGCCTGATACCAAACCTTCAGACAAAGATCCCTGAATGCCCCACAGAGAGCTCTTTCCACACACAGAGTTAGCTCACAACAATTGTAACACCCATGTTGGCAACTCAAGTATAGAGGGTCACTTACCAGAGAGACTGCAGATTGCAGCTAGGGTTCAATACTCCTTCGCAGAGGTCAATCACCCCTTCGTCACCAAGCTTATTGCCACCTATGTGCAGTTCTTTCAAGACACTGTTTGCACTGAGAGCAGAGCTAAGGCTTTTACAACAAGCTCTGGTCAAACCGCATTCTCTTAGCCTACAATGAACAAACAAGAGTTATCTCTAACCATTCTAGCACTTTCCCATTGAATGTCTTTTCACTCCTTCTCTAGAATCATTTTGCTTTCTCTGAGATCAGTCCTAAACTCCAAATGATTAGCAATTAGTTCACAACGGTGGCTATAATGAACAAAATCCTAAAGGGTCAGCAACATGTGTTTTGCCCACTGCTTCTCATCTAGGCTATGAATACCAGTGGTGTTTCCTCTTTTTTCTAAAGTATGTGTTGCAACAACTTTGACAGAGCTTTCAACCACAAATTGGGCTGAGAACTAAGAAACCTCCAGGCATTTCGGATTCCAACTCCATCAGCCCCACCAAACAAGGCCAATCGCTGACGGACTGTGGAACTTACAGCCCAAAACATCTGGAGGACCAAGTCTTGTCCTCCCCCACCCCCCACTGTTCGCTGGTATGTAAGTGCGCATAGCAAAGGCACATCAGAAGCACAAAACCTTGGCAGGGTCTTGTTCCTGTGCATGATGGGGAGAAGACCTTTGCTTATAATTTAATTTGTTGGAGAAAAGTTGCTGAAGGGGATTTTTCTGGGCTCAAAAGCTAGGTGGAGAGATCATGGAAAAAGTTAGACTGAACCCCTGGTTGCCCATCCCTGGTTCTAGGCTCATCCTGTCTAGTAGCACTGTTAGTTGCATTTAGCATTCAACCCTCAAGGAAGGAAGCCAACAAGAACTTACCACAGGGACTGGAGTTTAGTTTTTGGATCTTTAAGTCCTTCACATAAGAATTTCACCCCTCCATCTTTCAGATCATTTCCAATCAGGCTCATTTCCAGGAGAGTTTCTTTGGTTCCAATGATTTTAGCAAGATCCTTGCACCCAGGTGCTGAGATGCCACATTCCCATAACCTGAAATATCAGTCAGCAGCTTTAACTCAGGCACGTCTATAAAGGCGGAACAGCCTTACCCTTCTAGTAGCCTGTCTTCCAGGCACATGCCCTCTCTGGGACTCCTACAATCCACACAAGATTGGTCGAGTTTGTTGAAAAGAGAAAAGGCACCACAGACAGGACTTAAGGAATGACAGACTATGGAATGCCCTCCCGACTGAAATTCGTCTGGAGCCGATGTTGATGACATTTCTGCGCCAGGTCAAAACCTTCCTGTTCCAGAAGGCTTTTAATTGAAATAACATCAACGGTGGGTCCTGATGGCAATTTTAATTGTATTTTAATCATTTTATCTTTTATTGTATTTTAGTTGAATTTTAACTCTTATAAGCCACCCAGAGACCTTTGGGTAGAGTGGGCGGCATATTAATTAATCATGGTGTATTCCTTTCAATTGTATTCAGTTAACCTGCCAGAGATTTTCAAACAAATGGACATACAACGTAAAACTGAAATCCCATGTTACCCAAATGACCACTAAAGGATCAGGGCTGGAAAGGTGTGATGTGTAAGTGTTATGAATAAGCAAGTAACATTTGGCTTTGTTACCTGCCTACTTCTCCAGGAAATGCAATTTTACAGTAAAAGAAAAATTTGCAAAGTCCAAACATTGAGTTCTCTCCACAAATCTTATCTTACACACATGGACTACTGTATTGGAAGTGCACATATATAAATATGATTTAAGTGAAACAAATGCAGTTTTCACCAGTAGTGTCCAGTTGCATAAAAAGAACACATTTTCCTAGGAGCAGAGGGAAGAAATACAACTTTAAGGGCTGGAAATCAGAATTCCACACATTGTGTTTAATGATGATGATGATGTGCTGTCAAGTCAATTCTGACTTATTGTGACCCTTTCCAGAGTTTTCCAGAAGTGGCTTATCATTCCCTTCTTCAGGGGGCCTCCTGGGACTGTGCAACTTACCCATCATCACACAGGCTGCCTCTAGTCACAGGAGGCACAGTGGGGAACTGAACTCCCAAACTCTGGGTCATCAGCCAGATATCTAACCACTGAGCTACCCTGTCTTTTAAACATAAGCTACCATTAAAACTTTCAGATTTTCACACACAGTTAATGAAATCCGGCTTCTGGAATATTTCTTCTCTTGCCTATAAAACTGGTTTCTGGTAGAGCAGCCGTCCACCTGTACACTGCACTCCCAACCGAGGAGAGTCTTTGGTTTACACCAAGGAGCTCCAGCCTAATTCAAAACACTGCTATATGGCAGGCTGCATTTGACCAGCTCCTGCTTTAAACGAGGCACTTACCAGAGCTTCTGTATTTTGCAGTTGGGATTCAGCACCCCCTGGCAGAGCAGTGCCACGCCTGCATCACCAATCTTGTTCTCACCAATGCAGAGTTCTTTCAAGGAGGGTTTTGTGCTGAGAATAGTAGCGAGGTCCCCACAGATGCCATCTGTGAATTCACAGTTCTCCAACCTGCAGGGAAAGAGAAGCATTATCATTTTTCCAGACAGTTGGCCATCAAATGAATTTTGAGTCACTCTTCACTTCTGTCTCTGCAGCTACCACTCATCAGCAGAGAGGCATGGCGTTTTGACCTCACCAAGGCAACGGTTCTATCAGCCAGTGGGATCTCCCCGTTGGCTCAAAAAGCCTTGTTCGACGTCAAAAACTTTCCGCAGTGATGGTGAACTAAGAAATGTTACACTTATTCTTGCCATTACTTGTGTAAATTTCCAGAGGAAAAGCAAACTTCCCAAGTGATACATTGTTGGAAAAAGCTTCATATCATTCTTCTATGAAGTCTTCCAGTGTTTTATGTACACTGCCACAACATGCACGCGATAAGCAACGTGGACCACCTGAACATCTGACTAAAGGACCACATTAAGAGAGGATGAAGGAAGTAACCATTATCCCCCTGCCTTCAGTATGCTTTAAATCACTGGAATCATCCATCTGTTAGGTGCCAAGCAGCCATCTCATGAAGCAGAATTCGCTCTCTCAGAGGGGGGTCAGATCGTGGTAGCAGTGACACTTTACAGACAGGAACCAGGAAGATACTAGATAAGCATCCATGACATGAGGAAATGCCTCCAGTGTCAAAGACATTCGAAGGCTCCACACAAATGGCACCAAGAACTGACCTTCAGGCACCCACCCCCATACTAGCAGAGATTATGCTAGAGTGACACTTATTTCTAAACAGGCCATGTTTTCAGACAATGAGCAAGCAAATCAATGTTCTTCCCTCAGATGCTTTGGGAGTGATGACTTATCTCCAAGCTGTCCCCTGCCTCATCCACCAACCCCCTTTTTTTCTGGATCAGCTTGGAAAAGTGCATATGGAAAAAACAATATGGCCTGCGGGGGGGGGGGTTCTATTTGGCCCTGCACTCTCTCCTTTGTAGCCCTGCTCCCCCCCCCTTTGGAAGCTGACCTTCCCACGTACCTGCTGGTGGAAGAACAGCCCATTCTGTTCTAGTTTCTATCCTAGAAACCTACTGAATTTCTTGAATTTCTTTGTTTTTCCCCCAGCCCAGACTAGCCATGATGGAAAAGGAAGCTGTATGTAGACAAATAGTTCTGTTCCTATCCTATCAGCCTGCTGCATTTTTGTTTTTCTATGCTGACTCAGCAGCCAGCAAAAAAAGGCACATAAATGGAAGGTAAGTATAAGTTACTGCACTGGTTCTTAACCTTTGCTACTCGGATGCTTTTGAACTGCAACTCCCAGAAACCCCAGTCAAGACAGCTGGTGGTGAAGGCTTCTGGGAGTTGCAGTCCAAAACTCCTGAGTAACCCAAGGTTAAGAACCAGTGAGTTACTGCATAGGACTCTAATTTTTAAAGGCTGCGGTTGCCATCATCAAGGCAGAAAAATGGGGTGTATAAAGATGTGATGCACAGTATATATAAGAAGCAGTTACTAATCAAATGTTCAACACCTACTCTGAGTAACTTGAGCCTTAAAAATGACACAGCAAATTCTCTCTTCCGATTATTACTTTCTACTTGGTAAACATTAGAAGAGCACAGATTTGTGTTTTTGAACTACAAGCCCCAGAATTCCCCAGAGAGCAGTTCAAAAACACAAATCTGCAGACTTCTAGAAAACACTGATGTAGAGCTAAATCTAAATCAATCTCATACTAAATTTTTTATAGACTTGAATTGCACTCCTGAAAATTATGGGGGCTCATTACATGGCCAGGAACTTTGTAGACTGTTATCCACATTTGGTAGAATTCCACTCTTTGGTAAACTGAACCTATTCCTCCACAGTACACACATCATCACAGAATAACAGAAGTTGGAAGAGGCCTACAAGGCCATCAAGTACATCCCCCCGCTCAATGCAGGAATACAAATCAAAGCAGATCTGCCAGGTGGTTGTCTGAATTTCTTTTGAATGCCTCCAGTGTTGGAGCACTTATCACCTCTCAAAGTAATTGTTGTGCTGCTCTAACAGTCAGGATGTTTTTCTTGATATTCCATAAAAAATCTGGCTTCCTGTAACTTGAGCCCATTTGTTGCATGTCCTGCTCTCTGGGATGATCGAGAACAGATCGTGCCCCTCCTCTGTATGACAGCCTTTCAAGTAGTTGAAAAGTGTTATCACCTCTCTGTCTTCTTTTCTCAAGGCTAAACATATCCAGTTCTTTCAGACTTTCCTCATATGGCTTGGTTTCCAGTCCCCTGATCATCCTTGTTGCCCTCCTCTGAACTTGCTCCAATTTGTCAGCATCCTTCTTCAAGTATCATGTCCAGAACTGGATGCGGTACTCAAAATAAGGCCTAACCAAATAGAGGGAAACTCATGCAGGACTTGGAGACTGTATTTCTCTTAAAGCCAAAAATAGCATTTGCCTTTTTTTGTTTCAGGCACCCACCCCCATACTAGCAGAGATTATGCTAGAGTGACACTTATTTCTAAACAGGCCATGTTTTCAGACAATGAGCAAGCAAATCAATGTTCTTCCCTCAGATGCTTTGTGAGTGATGACCTACCTCCAAGCTTATCTCTGTTGAATTTCATTCTGGTGCTTTCAGTCCAATGTTCCAGCCTATCTACATCATTTTAAATTTTGTTTTTGTCTGCCAGATTTTGTTTCTATAGCTCTCTAAGGGGAGGAATTAGTTCACACATTAGCCACAGCTTCAGCCCAAATAACAAAGTAGTAGTCACTAGCATCATCTCCAAGATCACGCCTGTACTGCAAACTGCAGAGACGTTTAACCCCGACCAACACAGCAAGACTTTCTGAGGACCTCAAGTTGCCCATCTCAATCACCAGCAAGGCATGTAGGACATCAGATTTGATCCCACAGGTGGTGACAGATTCCACAAGGAGGGAGAAGCTGTAACTTACTGTAGAACCTGCAGGTTGCATTTGCTATCCAGGATACCCTGGCACAGTTGCTTCACTGCCGCATCTCCAAACTCGTTGTTGCTCAGGTTGAGTTCCTTCAATGAGGACTTGGAGCGCAGAGCAGAGGTGAGATCCTCAACGTTGTCAGCTGAGAGTCCACAATACTCTAGCCTACAAGAGAGCAAAAAGTGGGAAAACTGCTAAGGTTGAAGCTCATTCTTCTTTGCTCAGAACACTCATTTAAACCAGCTGTCCTCAAGGTGGTGCTCTTTAGATGTGCTGAGCTGAGCTACAACCCACTTTGTAGCTATAACCAGCAATTACCATTCATTGTCAGAATAATAATAGGCACTGTAGTTCAGTTCATTTGGATGAGAGCAGACTGAGAAAGGCTGATATACAAACTGTAGATATAACTCTATATCTATACAAAATCTGCTACACAATCACACACATTTACTTTCAGCATTCTCAGAAACCCTAAGAATTTACACTTGGAGGATGTCACTATACAACCACTGACCAACAACAGCAACAGCAAAGCCATATAGTAGAAGTGTGCATGTTTGACTTATTGGACTGTAATTCCCAGAATGCCCCAGGAAACAGGGCCAATGACCATACTGCCTGAGGAGTTGTGGAAGCTGTAGTCCAAAAACACAAATATGTGTCCCTCTACTTTATAGTGTATTTTGTAACTATTATCATTATCAATACAGCAAGATCTTTCCTTATAGAAGCCAAGGGCAGCTAACAGTGCCCCGTAGAACACATCATTAAAATCACAATTTACAAACATGAAAAAAATATAAATTAGAAATGTCAACTAAATACAGTCAAAGTGTTTTTACTGTATAGCACTGCAAGCTACTTTAGTGAAAACCTCTTACCAGGCAAACCTTTCTTTGCATGATCAATCATTGGGGATTCTCTTCATTCAGAAGGTCCACTTCCCTCTGGTGTTTCACCAGATGGTTTTTAAAATAAAATAAAATAATGTATTTCCAGTTATCTAAATATGTTCATACAAGACATATTTGCTAACTAATCTATTGGGCACTCACTGAAGTGTTTCCAGTTGACAGTTAGGATCCAGAAGTCCTTGGCACAACACCTTCACTCCTGATGCGCCCAAAGTGTTGTCTCCTAGGTGTAGCTCTGTCAATGATGGTTTGCTACTGAGCACAGAGCGGAGGTTGTCACAGCAAGCTTTGGTGAGGTTGCAGTTCCGCAGCCTGGAAGAAAAATTCAGAATCAAGAGAGCCTTCCAAGAACTCACAAGCTTCATTCCTGGATGCTACCTGTAGTGGAATCCAAAAAGGTGACATCATTCCTGCCTGTCCATCACAGCAGCTAAGGGGGAGGAGCCAAGGATAGAGCAGGAGGGGCGGAGTTAGAGTGACAGAGGGAGTTAGAGACGGTTGAAGTGAGTGAGAGGTAGAAAGAGTCAGGGACCAGAAGATATACAGAGGGTGTTAGGGTTTAGGAATAGATTAAAGGGGTTTATGAGAGAAATTTGAAAGTAAAACACATATAACAAGCAGGAATGAACGTATAAGCATAACAAGAGAGATATAAAATTGATAGTAAAGTGATTGACTGCATGATCTTAAAAGTATTAACATCTGAACGAACTCATATATGATTTTCCTGTTGTTTTGGTTAATAATAAAAGAATACTTAATCATAAACCCTGCTTCCTAAAGTATATGACCTATTTGGTGTGGCAGCTCCTGTGTGGGACTTGAAGTGGTATCAGAATTACCTGGTGGCAGCGAAAAGGGTGTATGTTCCTTTGTGAGGCCCAAAGAAATAGGGGCAACAAAGGGGCATCGCCACACTACCCTATACTTAAAAGGGTACAGCAGTATCGGGAATATCTCTGCTGGTCATGGTAAGACTCTAGGGTAGGAGCAGGCATAGTTGGTGGTCAAGGATGATGGAATCGGTAGTGGAACCCTAGTTAAAAAGTTCCCTAATGTCATTTTTGTGGTATTTCTAATGCCCCATAAAGATCTTTTTGCTCACCAAGGTTTTTTAAATAACTTGTGTAGTTGCAGCCTCTCTGTTTTAAAAATCTCTTTTAACTCTTACGTTGCTACGAGCTTTCTTCTGTCTTGCTTATGTTAATTTTCTGACATCATTTTAAGATTTATTTTGCATTTAGGTGCATTTCACATTTATTTTTCTCAAACCACTGAGAGAGAACTTTGTGTTATGGGATGGGGAAAATGAATCTTAACGAAAAATTCTGAAACAATGGGTGAAATCCAGTAGCAACTCACAATTAGAGTTAGGCCTATTGAATTCATGGGGATTTGGTGCATCAATTCCTCTGTATGTTCCATAGCTTAAATGAGCCTACTCTAGTTGTAACCTACTGCTGGATGTCAGCCATTATATAAAGTAGTCAAATACCAGAAGAGCTGCTAGTTACTGACCTGGAATCCTAGAGAGCTGTTGCCAACATCTGTCTTAACAGGCCTATGTGCTTTTGCCAATCAGTACAGATGACACTGAGCTAAGATGACTCACCAGTAGTGTGACATAGTAAAAGGAATTTTTTCCCTTTTTTTATGGAAACCAAAAGACCCAACCCATTTGTACTCTTCCTTCATATGGATACAGATCAATTCTCATCCAAAGTGGTAATCAGAATGCAACTAACCCATACAATCCAGTGGCATAACCTGCCAGGAGAGGAATGCCAGAAAGATTACACTGTACCAAGTACAGATACCTTTGCAAAGTTACATTTTTGTACATGGCCATGTTGGATGGGGTCATGGTGGATTTGATTTAAAGGCATCAAAATTTAAATCAGTAGTCAGTAAGCTTTTATTTTTAAAACATCTGATTTAAATAAGTAAATAAATAAATAAATACCTGATTTCAATCAAAAAGTTCTGATTTAAATCTTTAAAAATCTGATTTTAATTTTAAACATCTGATTTTAAAATGTTTTAAATATATATCAGATTTTTTTAAATACAGCGCTTTAGATTGTGATTTAAATTGTAGTTTAAATCAATTTTTTTTTAAATCAAGTTTATCCTGGATCAGGCATCCTGTTTCTTTCCCTACCCCCACCTCCAGTACTGATCTAGACTGACTGGTGGCATTTTAGTCATGAAGCCTGCCAGTTGTGAAATTGTATTATCATGAAGGCAGAAATCTTTGTTTTCAAGCTGGCAGTCCCTAGCACAATTTGGCAAAAGGGGCTTCCCAAGCTGATTTTTTGAATGGCACTGCTAAAACTAGAAGATGGTGTTTCAGTTTCTGGGGGACAATGGCCACTCTGATCCAGAAACAATTGGGGGGGGGCGACTGGGACACAAATGCCATTTCTTCAATTGCAGCAATTGCTGTACAAGCCTTCCCTAGCCACAAGGAAAATCAGTACTTGCATGTGTTTGTTTGAAGGTGTGAAATTGGAGAATGTTACATTTCATCTCTTATTTTGCACAAATAAGCCCAAATCTTGCAATCTACACAATGGGATTCTTATGAAGGTGGATGCAAGTGTTAACAAGGGGGGTCTGAGAAGTGTGCAAAATAGTGCCACTCTCCCAGGGCAATGCTGGGACTGGGAATGCGATTTCCCTATTAGTGCGCATGTCAGCCTGTGCAAATCTTCAGGTGATAGGGTAACAGCATCAACGTAGATTGGTTCTTGGGACTGGTTCCTTCACTCAAGATTTGGAAGCTTGTTCCACATTAAACTTGCTGACAAGATAATGAGAAATAGTGTCCAGAGAAGTTTACTCTTGTTAAGGACTGAGAATTTACTCCAAGAAAATCCACAGCCCCATGTTACGTCCATTTCAGACAAGTGTCATTCAAGACAATAATTACTGTTAGACCTTTCCACCTACTTTGAATTACATTTTATGCAGCTTAAGCCATTGTGGGTTGAGGGAGGATTTACCATAGTTTCTGAAGCTTACAACTTGGATTCAGCAATCCTTTGCACAGCACCTCCACACCAGAGTCTCCCAGTTCGTTATTGTTCAGCTTAAGTTCAGTCAGGCTTTGGTTTGTACTCAGCATAGAGGAGATATCTTCACAATTGCTAGTTGACAGATTACAGTCATCCAACCTGAGAACAAAAGAAAACAACAGCCAGCTGTGAGCTCAGACAAACCAACTGAATAAAGCACTGCCCACGCATGGTCCTCTTTACTCCCCAGTTGTTATTTATTCTCCTTTCAACAGTGGCTGTTCTGTTACTTCTTTTAAGAAGTGTGATGGGTATTGAAGACTAAGTGGACTCAAATACTAAATGCACACAAATGCGCATGTGTGCTATATGCTGTCAACTCGCCTTGGAATGATGACAAGGCTAATAGGGTTTTTCAGGTACTTGAGATATTTAAGGACTGGTTTTACTAGTACCACTTCCCCCATCCCCAAGTGTGTTTCCATGGCCAAGCAGGGATTCAAACCTACATCTCCTAAACCCTAATCCTCCTTTCTACGCACGACACCACACTGGCTCTCCACCTACACATACAAAATAACTGGCACCAGCAAATAGCAGGATCACTGGTGGTGGGCCACATCCAGAAGCCAATTATCAGTCTCTGTCTGTCATGGACAGAGGTGTCATGTGAGGAGGATGCGCCAGCAGGGAAGGACAATCCCGTTCCCAACCTGGCTGGCCTACACTGGCAGAAGCTGCAACACTTACTCATCCCGGGAAACTACTGCATGGATCTCAAAGGCCAAAGCAGTTTTACATAATTAGTGCCTGGGGTGACTCAATTATGCCAGAATGTGAAACAGAATTATTTTATTCTTTTAAAAAAACCTTTCTGGGGAAAATATAAAGTTTTTTTTTAAAAAAAAATCTATACGACTGTGAAGTGTTTTTGCACTGAAAGGCGTCAATCTCTAGATATTTCAAGCCAGCTCTGCTTCTATTCTCTCCCTCTCCCCAGATCCCCAGTAGTGAAACCAGCTGAAGTTGTACCTGAATGGATCTCTTATAAATATTGGACTATCCACCGTTACAATAGCAAGACACCGATGCAGTTCACTGAAATTTTACTGACCTGATGGTTTTGTACTGGTTAAGGGACGGAACAAGTTCTTTCCATTTTGATTCACTGAGTTCTGTAGACTGGATGTCAAGATCCATTTTTAAGACAAGACCTGGAGAAAGAAGATGGAGAAGAGGTGAACTTTCCTGCAACATGTAAAGGAGCCGGCTGACCCTGTAAAACCCCAAGCCATTGTGGGTTGTTATCTCTAACATTTACTGTATACCCTTTTGAGCTGCAAGGCAGAGTTTCTCCACAGGAGCTCCCGTTAAAAGATCTTTTGGTGGCCGTCCGCAACCTAACTCTACTAAACCTTTTCTGCAACCATTTCATAGGGCACATGTGAATCACAAAATGTTTCTAGGTATCCGCCACCTGCTAGTTTTAGGAGATTTGCTAAAGGAGACCTTCTAAAGTGACTGTAACCCCTGGCCCAACTTCAAAAGCCAAAGTTTACAAGCTCTGGCACTCACTGCCTAGACCAGTTTCAACTCCAGCCGCAGAAAGCATCAAACCTCCCACAGGCTATCCCCGCAGGAATGCAACCTATGATAGAAACTAGGTCCCCTGCCCTTGGGCTATATTTCATAGGACTTGCACAACATCTAACTGTAGTGAAGGAACAATACCAGGGCTTTTCGGGAATACAGACCTGGCAATTCTGGCCCTGCCTGCTGAGCAGGATGCCTAGGAGTTAGGTTTGAATGGTGCGCACATCTAGGCCGGTGAGCAGATGTATTTACTTTGCAACATTTCAGACTAATTAAGCTGCCTCTCTAAGAAGAAAGCTGTCTTGTTGTGGGATTTCACCAGTTGACACAGATGATGCTGGCTAATTAAATGTCAGACCCTTCCCCCCCACCATATACTGTATTAGCTCCGATCTCCACTTCAAAAAGGGGACTTTTTAAAAGCCGCACAGAATCCTTTGTATTTCCATACCCACTTCTCCCAACCTGTCACCTTCCCACTAGGTTGGACCACAGCTTCCAGCACTTCACGCTACCAGAGCCATGGTCCATGTAACTTTTAGTCCAATATAGGTAGAGGGCACTAGCTTGAGGAAAACTCTTCTACATCACTTAGCACCTTGCAGGCAGAAGAAGCCATGCCACCTCCTACTACCCCTCTGTTTAATCAAAAACACCAAATTGCTTCTGACACAGGAGATACACAAATGGATCTTACCAATTTTGATTTACTGCCTCAGCCTAAGTGTAGGCTTCTGCCTGAGCAGAAGAGCAAGGCTAGATGGGGTTTAGCCCTTCCCTCAGTCCCCTAGATCTAAACCACACAAGACTTCCAACCACCAAAGCATCTATTAGCTTTCTCTATTATTACAGCTTTGGGAGGGCAAATGACTTAAGACTGCTTAGACTCCTAAAAATAGGATGAAAGGTTAATAACCATGAACCTGTTTTAAACATTTAGATGACACAAAATGCTATCAACAAATCAAGACCTTGGAAGATTTTCTTTTGGGGACTATAAGTCCCAGAATCCCCCATTCGGAATGGCCACTGGAAGTTGTAGTTCAAAGAAAAGGAACATTGCCAAGCTCAGCACAGACCTTTAGCATTATGTATAGTCTAATGCTAGTTCCTATGCCAGGATTTTGGCTATAATTTCCAGTCTCTCCCAGGGGCACACATTATAGTAACCTATGTTTTGTTGAACACCATTCTGCAGGCATACCAGAGTAATGTGGCCATGAACAGTTCCTGTGGACTCTGTTTAGTTTTGTAGAAATCTACTTAATTCTTTGTTTTCTTAAAACAAATATACATGCTAGTTTTATTATAATTAAGTTTATTATTGGGTCAAAAAAAACTACGAATAGACATTTCTGATCCCAAGTCCTATTCCAGAGAGACAGGTCAGGAGGATACTATGGTCAATAATACTGAAAGCCACTGAGATGGTATCAAAATAGTACAGTATTCAATAATATTGAGCCTACTGAGAGGTTGAGCACTGTTTTACGGTGGCTCCAGGCTTTCCTAGTAGAAAGAACTTGGGAGGTGGTGCTGGGGGATTCCTCTTTGAAACCCTGGCTGCTGACCTGTGGGGTCTCTCAGGGTTCTGTTTTGTCTCCTGTGTTATTTAACATCTATATGAAACTACTAGGAGAGATTATCTGGAGTTTTGGGGTTTAGTGTCACCAGCAGGTGGATGACACTTAACTCTACCTCTCCTTGCCACCAAAATCCAAGGAAGCTGTTTCAGCTCTAGATCAGTGTTTTGTATCAGTAATGGAACGGATGAGGAAGAATACATTGAAACCTAATCCAGACAAGACAGAGGTGCTCCTATTCAGTTGAAAGGAAGATCAAGGAATAGGGATGCAGCCTGTGCTGGATGGAATTACACTCCCCCTGAAAACACAGGTGCCCCACTTTGGGGTGCTCTTTGATTCATCTTTAAGCCTGGATACCCAGGTCTCGGATATGGCCAGGAATGCATTTGCACAATTAAAACTAGTGCATCAGCTACGCCCATTTCTTGAGAGCTGTGATCTGGCCACTGTGATACGCACCCTAGTTGCTTCCCAGCTGGATTACTGTAATGCGCTTTATGTGGGGTTGCTGACAGAAAGTATCAGGAAATGGTTGTTGTGGGTTTTTCAGGCTCTTTGGCCGTGTTCTAAAGGTTGTTCTTCCCAACGTTTCGCCAGTCTCTGTGGCCGGCATCTTCAGAGGACAGCACTCTGTGCTCTAGTGTAGTTGGCTTGGGAGTGGAGTATTTATGGCTGTCTCACTGGCGAAACGTTAGGAAGAACAACCTTCAGAACACGGCCAAAGAACATGAAAAACCCACAACAACCATTAGATCCCGGCCGTGAAAGCCTTCGCGAATACAGTATGAGGAAACTTTGACAGGTCCAAAATACAGCATCCAGATTGCTGACTAGGGCTGGTTACAAGGATCACATAAGCCACCCATCCCTATTACAGCAGCTCCACTGGCTGCCGATCAATTTCTGGGCACAATTCAAAGTGCTTGTTTTAGCCTACATAGCCCTATATGGCCAGGGTCCAAGTTATTGATGCAAGTTAATGATGCAAGACACCTCTATTCATTGTTCATAGTTTGAAATATTGTCTTTTAATGATGTTATCCACTGTTGTATACTCATTGTTTTCAACTTTAAATATTGTCTTTCATTGTTATAAGCCGCCTTGGGTCCTTTTCAAGGTGAAAGGCAGGGTAAAAATATTTTAAGTAAAATAAAATAAATCCTCTCTCAGAATTATGGCTAACAGAAGCAAATAGGCATTAGCACTGTTTTGCTAACCAGTAGCTTTCTCCAACCTGACACACTGATATTTTAGAATACAATTTCCATCATCCCCACCCAGCATGGCCATCTGGAAGGCTGGGGAAATTTAACTCCCATGGTTCCATTCTTGCTGACAAATTACTAACTGGAAAGTAAGGCACAGGGAGAGTGTCTATGTTGCTTCCCGGCCCTGAATGGGTTGCTGGGAATGTGATTCTGCTGTGAGACAAGAGACACACTCCCCACAGACCATAGTTCCTGGCAGAATCACTGGAGTGGCAGCAACAGGGACCACAGCGGATGTTCTGCCATGCTGCCTGGGGACCCCAAGGGAAGGCACACCTGGCAAAGGTGCCCAACTGTATCCAGTGAAACTCACATTCCTGTCTGAGAAGGCAACCCAACAGCCTGGGGCATGAGAACTCCCTCTGTAGGTAGCATCAACCTCCAATTATTAAACACCATGTTGTTCACTGTGATCTATGACTCAATGTGATATATTTAAGGAATTCTCTTCAAAGGTTCTGTTAAGAGGCCGACTACTCAGAACAGACAAACATTTTACAGTAAAGTGACAAAAATGTTTGTATTCTGTATTTATGGAAACTGAACTTAGGAGCTTGGAAGAAGTAAAATAACAAGTGCAAGCAGTGTTATATTATCAGTTGAATAAGTAACATGTTCTAGTTATTTTTCAAAGTTACTTTTAAGAGGGAATTTTTCAGAGGTATTTTAAAAAGGAATTGTTCACATTTTATCACCATTCTGCTATAATCCTTTATTGTAAAAGTATAAGACAAAAGAACAGAAAAAACAGCAAGCAAAGGCAATAGTTATTTTTCTAGCAGCACAAGAAGCAAAAATACTGTAATGAGAAATGGCAAAGAATTTTAGAAAGCAACTTCCCAAGTCCTTGTCTCAATTAAGTGAGAATTAAGTCTTTAATTGTTCTATCACTACATGCATGGTGCTTGCCAATTCATTCTCCTCTCCACGTGCAGCCTTTGCTTTGCAGTGAGATTCCTCCCAATTAGCATCTCAACCACAGCATTTTTCCAAATGTAAAAAAATAAGAATAAAAATAAATTTAGAAGCAGTTGAAAATGTGCAAAAGCATTTACATCACTAAAATAGGACCACGGTATCCACAGGAGATGGGTTTCAAGCTCTACTCCCCATGCAGATTCTGGAAAAATGCAGAAGTACTGTACAGTATTGGATGCTATGCATTGTATGGTCTCGGACTCCCCTTGTGGCTAGTTCTAGTAACCACACCCTAGAGGAGGGGTTATTTAGTATTTTCGAGCAGCAGATAAGTGAATCAGTGGATACTGATCCCAGAGATGAGGGTGTCCCACTTTACTGAAGTCTCTCCCCATTTTCACCTACTATTGTCTGGTGTGGAGTTCCAACAACATCTATACACTAGCTACATCTAGGATTCAGGAGACTTGGGTTCAAATTATAAGAATGGTGCAACTTGATGGCACATTAGCAAACACAAATGCAGCTCTAATGTCGCTAAGAGTTACACCGATGACTTCTAAATTCCACATCAAACTACAAATTCCAAGATTCCACAGGATGGAGCCAAACTGCTATAACTTTCTTCCCCAGTGCTCTATAAATGATTGGGGTAGTAATTATAAGAACAAGCATGCATCCTCAATGTCCAACTGGTCGCCATTTGTTCAATATTTTAAAAAATATAGGACAATACTGTACAGCTTTATTTTTAACCAGAATTATGTACCAAATACTTCTGGAACTGCACATAATTTTAAGAGGGGAAGTTGTAGCCTGACAAAGGGGCGAGGGTGTTATCTATCCTT